CATGACTGAGTTTCAGCAACAAGCGATGGTCCTCAACATTGCGACGAATGAGTACTCGGTCTTTATGAAGTATATGGAGGGATTGAGCGATTACATCCAGAAGGAGATGAGGTTATTCACGGTTGAATCTAATGCAGAAGCGAGCGTGAAGGCTATTGCCATTGAGGGAAAGCAAAAGAAGAGCAACGAATCCAAAGGAGAGGCTAAACAAGCTGGAGGCGAGTCTAGTGGTTCTCAATCTAAGAATGAGAAGAAGAAGGATGATCCAGGAAAAACATGGCTGATTTGTAGTCATTGCGAGAAGACAGGGCACGTAGCTAATCAGTGATGGGAGAAGTATCCTCATCTCAAGCCAAAGGAGTTGAAGAAGGAGAAGGAGAAAAAAGCATACGTGATAGCTCATGGTCCGAAAGAAGTTCCCGGGATGATAAAACCCAATAGCAATCTCAACCTTATGACGGGAAAACAGGCCACGGAAGAGGAGAACGACCCCGGAGAGGAGCTCTTTGTTCTTAAGTTGCAAGTAAAGACCAGTTTGGCTGATGGCATAGTTGATACGGGCAGCGAAAAGAATTTGATATCTAAGGCCTTGGTTCAGAAGCTGGGTCTGAAGATGGTCAAGCATCCAAACCTATCCTTTAGGGTGGATTCAAAAGGAGACAGGATTGAGTGTGACCAACCAATGCACTTTCAGATTTGCGCTTCACGAGTAGTATATTGACGAGGCCACATGCGACGTAGTTCCATTGGATGTTTGTCAGGTTATACTGGATAATCCCTATTTGTGGGATAGATACGCGACCTACAATAGACGGGCTCAAAAGTACACATTCACCAAAGATGGTGAAAAGTTCATATTTTGTTCGACGACTCTTCAGAAGGAGACAAACTTAGTGACAGTGAACCAAGCGAAGAGGCTAGTGAATACAAGCAAGAAGTTTGTCTCGCTATGCATTAGTTCTTATGAGGAGCCACTAAAAGAGGGTTGTGAATTGGAGCAGAAGGTGACTATGACGAGACGCGGGACAAAGGAATCGTTTCCAATCGGACGTCAAGACCAAGTTCCTAGCAAAGCTAGGTGGTTCAGAAAAGATGGATGAGCTCGAGAGTTTCCTTAGCTAAAGTTCTAACTTGAACGGGGCTTCAAGTTCCTAAAGGGGGGCCATGATACAGGTGTATCTACTTCCATGCTTCGGGAGCTTAGCGATCCTCATGGGAGCTTGAGGATAGACGATTCTCATGATATCTTGAGAATAGAGGCGTGGATGAAGCCGTTGGTGGCTGCGAAAGAAGTGAAAAGCAAGAAATCAGGAAACAGAAGTTTAGGTTCTGGCCGGTCGACCGGACCAAACTGGTCGGTCGACCGAAAACGTGCACGCTACATGGATGTTTTGGTGTTCTCTAGGCGGTCGACCGCAGCACGACCGATTACAGGGTAGTTTCAAGGTGTATTTTCCACCTCGTTGGCCGATCGACCGCGGCGCACCTGCCGGTCGATTGGATAAGGATTCCTGTTCGGATTTGAACTCTGTTTTGACGTAGTTTCCTGATTTATTTGGACTTGTTATTTACAAGATTGTCATCCACATTATTAGGGATATAAATAGGATTGTTGAGGGTTTCTAAAACAATCAAATTGTATTCTTAGAGGAGATAGAGAGGAGAAATTCTAATCAAGTGAATAGGGTTTAGAGAGATTATAGAGTTTGTTCTTTATTCTAGTGAGATTGTGAGGGTGAGATTTTGTAATCTTTGATTCTTCATAATGTAGAGAATGTATTTTCCTTCACCAATTGAATTGTTCTTGTGTTTTCTATCATCTTCTTCTCAACCCACCTTTGATAATTTCGCGACCAATGGTGTTTGCACGGCGACTTGTATCAACCGAAGTGAAAGCGCTCATTCTGTGACCACTCCACAACTGACACGCATAAAATTGATGTTGACTCAACCGCTAGCTCAGACTTGACGGAGAAAGACTAAAATACTCCTCCCGCATGGTTATAAGAGGGACAACTATTCCAAATGGAAGGTTAGTAATTTTCTCAGAATTTTTATCTACTATACTGCACCGAAGAACTCGCACAGTTCACCACTTTCCCACTCAAGTACATCACTGACTTGATCGTCGGAGGAACAATAGAGGAACTAGTCCCCGTCCTCTTACGAGTTATTACACGTGCATGGAAGAAGCAGCTCAACTCAAAACCAGATATTCGGAGAAGTTAGCGACCGCTACTCAATTTCATTCTCATTACATCACCAGTGTGATTATTAACATCAATAGTTTGGCGCCCACCGTTGGGCCTTCTCTCTTTTCCAAACAAGCATGTCTGGTTTTGAGCATAGGGTTGACCAGTCCATTCCTGAAGGACCACACCAGAGCTACGTTACTCAAGTCCAGCTTGAGGAAACAGCTCAAAAGATCTCTTAATCCCTCCAGCAGCAACTCTCTATCTTCACCAGCGAGCTCCTTAGTTGGTTTCCACAACAGCCGCAGCAAGCTACTTCCGACATTCCTCCTCCCTCAAGAGACCAACGATCAGGGACTCGCTCCCCTTCAGAAGCTTAGCATAGCATCCCTCCTCGGACTGGTTACGTCGCCGCCAAGCAACAGAGAGATCACGTCGAGCACGTGACCTCACCATCACGCCAGTCATCTCGCCCGACGGACCCTCGTCGGCGCCTCTTTCCTCACTCTGAAGCCACCGACGAGAGCCCCAATCCTAGTCACCTAAGAAGCACGTCATGAACAGTAAATCAGGCCCCCAAGCGCTGACACCTCACCTGTCCCCAGGGGTCCCCTATTTGGGGTCCCTGTAGCACAAACAAACGAATAAACCTATGATTAAGTGTGAAGTTGAGTGCGGATTCCAAAATTAAAAAGAATTATATCCTAAACTGGCCCATCCAATCACTGGATCCAGCCGTTCCAAATGATTCGCCACGTCGCCGCCCACCCGTTGACGATACACGAGACCATTAAAAACTCAAAAAACCCTTCGTCTTTTCTTGATCTCCTCCCTCTTCCTCTCAAAAAAAAAACTAGGGTTAGGGTTAGGGTTTCTCAATGGATCCCAGCCCTCGCTCCTCCTCCCCTCTCACTGCCGACGACCCATCCTCCACCTTCTCCTCCTCAGCACGCTGCTGCTGCTTCTGCATCCCCCGCTCCTCCTCCCTCTGGCACCGCGTCAGCTCATTCAACGACCGAATCCGACCCG